AATATCAAATGATAGTTTATTCTCTACTAAATATTAATCAATAACTTATAACAAAAACACAATAAATACAATAAGTACAATAAAATAAATTTAAAATTTTCAATAATAGTAATTTAATCTCCAATAAATATTGAAAGTTTTCTATTAAATAACTTAACAAAATATATTTATACATACTTATTGAAAATACATTTATCACAAAAAGACAATAAATATTAATTTTAGTATATATAATTATATAATAAATATAGATTAAGAGTTTAAAATTATTAATAATAAATATTATTTTTTTGAGAGTTATTTTCTGAATTATTACTTGATATAAGTGAAATTAATTATTTACAATAGTATGTAAAAATATTAAATTATTATTAATTTCAATATTATGTTATGATTATTTTTCTACTTTTTAGATTTTTTTAATTTATTACATAATTTATTTATTTTAACTATTTAAAATCTATTTATGTTAAATATTTTTTATTTAAAATATTTAGTTGTTTAAATACTTAAATAATATGTAAAATATTTAAATTTTAAAATATTAATTATTTATTGAATTTAATTTTCCATAAAATCATAATTTATACTATGATTACATAATTTCATTATTAAATTTGTAATATATTAAATTATTAATTTAAGTGTTATGTTATAATTATTTTCTACTTTGAAGAAATTTTTTAAATTTATTACATAATTTCATTATTTTAACTATTTATAATCTAGTTATGATAAATATTTAGTTAGTTAAATAATCTATAAAATATTTAAAATTTTTTGTTATTTGAATTTTATTTATTTAAATCTATTACATATTATTAAATATTTAAAAAACATTTAAATTGATAATCCAAAAAAACATAATTTAAATTGTTAGTACATAATTTTGTATAAATATAAAATTATTTTTTGTGTTTTAATATATATTTTAAAGTTATTATTTAATTTTGTTAGAATATTTAAATAATTCTTAAATTTTTTAATCCAAACTTTCTTTAGATAGATATAGATAAAAGTATGGGAGATGATAAATAGGAATTAGAGATAATTTTGGAGAAAATGGGGGAGTGTGGGGGAGGTAGTTTAAGAGTAATTTTAGGAGAAGAGATTATTTAGGTTATTGGGAAAGTGCATCTCATTGGTTGTTTAAAAAATGACATGGAATTAAAAAAAATAAAAATTTCAAAAAAAGGAGAAAATAGATAAATAGCTTCTCTCAAAGGAGAGACATGCTGACATGACAGGATCAATTTTAATATATATATATATATATAGATAGATAGATATATATAGATATGAACCATCTCTCTCTCTAGGTTTCTAGAGTTTCTCTCTCTACTCTGAGAGAGCCTTATTCTCAAGGTTTCCTTGGTTATTTCTCATCATCCACCCCCTATTGTCCTTCTTCCATCTTCAATTGTTTTTGGGCATCCCCTTTCTTTTCTTCTCCCTCTCCCCTCTCTTCTTCGTTCTTCTCCACTTCTCTCTTTCCCTCACTCCTCTCTTTCTCCTTCTTGATTTTCTTGTTCCACTTCTCATTCTTTCCTCTCACACATTCTTCTCCTTTATCTTTTGTTTTTTCTTTATGTTCTTTTATGCAGGGATTTTGATACAAGAGGTTGACTCTTCCTTAAAGAATTTGGTGTTGGGCGGTGGCCTTCATCACTTTTTTGGATTTCACCATTAGTGGTTGTTTCCAGAGTGTATTTCACCGGTGGTAACAGTTCTAGATGATTATAGTTCCGACAGGTACAATTCTAGCAGTTACAGTTCCAGGTGGCTCCAGTTTCTTGGTGCGAGTCGCTACTATCTTTATCCCTCACTTTCAGTGGTTGGAGATGTGCTCAGTTGTTTCTTCTATTGATGATCCTGCCTCACCTTATGTCGGTTGTAGAAGTTCTCTTTTATTCTCCTTTATCGACAATTTATATTTTGTTCTTTCTAAGGATTTGTATTTACGCTTTTTTGCTTGGTACTATGATTACTTCCCTGTGTTCATACATGTTTCTTAATTTGAATGAAATATGATTCTTGCCTTAAAAAGAAGACTCCTTGTAACAAATATGCATACATTCCCCCCTCCCCCCCCCCCCCAAAAAAAGAAAAAAAAACTCCTAACTCCCTTACAAACTTTAAAGAACACAAGAGAGGGGAGGTAGGCTCCCTTTCTTGTGAGACTTGTGGTGAGAGACCCCTAAACTCCCATGCATTCCTTTTCTATTATACATAGATAGATTAACAAATAATATACAAATATACGTACATAATAGATTGATTGGATTGGGTTGAACTCAATCCTTTGTATATTATTATTTTTATATATCTAAATTAGTAAAGGATTTTAAAATTTTTTTTGACATAAATATAGATCAATGGATTTGATAGATCATTCACCTATCATTTATTTTATTAATATTTAGAAATACTATTTTTTTTTTGTTTTTTTTTTAACTTTTTGGTTAAAAATTCATATATAATACTAATTATTTGAATTATAAATATGACTCTCAACGTAAACAAATGCTATGTTATCTTAATTATTATCACATGAAAGATGGTTTAGTGGTGAGTGGTTAAGTGCCATTGGTTTAAAAATCATAGGTTTGAATCTTTCTAATAGCATTAGTTTTAAATTTGTGTCTATCCCCAATTACGGGTGTAAATAGTGAGTTTCATCACAATTAATGAGGGCATTAATGAATTGGAATTGGAATGGCCTATTCTCATTGTTTGGTTTAGACATGAATGGGAATAGGAACTAGAATCAGCAAGAATGAGATTTCATTCCCAAGATAGGGGAAGGGAATGACGATTCCCTCAAATGGGGGGATGCCATGGGAATGGGATTCCAATTCTACCCAACCAAACAACTGGAATTGGAATAGCCCATTCCGATTCCGATTCTAGACCCCTATTCCTACGAACCAAACGAGACCATAGTTAATAAGGAAAGATATTAAATGCAATTGTATTATATAAAGAAAATACTTGAATTGGGTTATGTGTAGGTGATAGAAATAAGGATTAGTTTGGTTCATAGTCAGAACCGAAATCCTTTGGAATCGGAATCAGAATGAAATATTCCCATGGTCTGTTTGGTTCAGACATGAATGGGAATGTGAATTAGACTAAGCAGGAATGAGATTTCATTCTCAAGAAAAGTGCAGGGAATGACCATTTCCATCAAATGGGGTTCCGATTCTGTCCAACCAAACAACTGGAATTAGAATAGACTATTCTGATTCTGATTCCAGACTTCTATTCCCACTAACCAAATGGGGCCTAAAGTCCAAATACAAAGGGGTTCCCTAATGTGGTTCATTTGAAGATATGATGGCTTAGTTCATTTTGATCTATGCATAAGTGAAAAAAAATGCGTTTGTTTAAGACTTAACTCAATTCAATCCGCATAATACTGTGGATTAAATTGATTCTCTCGCAATTTATCGTTCATATTCAAATTTCATGGATCAGTTTACATTATTATAATAGATGCAATTATTTATATAAAGTATTGTAATAAATTCTCAATGTACTTTATAGATTTTTTTAGGATTTTTAGATTTACAATAATTCAAATTTATAAATACACTCATACCCGCCACTGAATTAACATCAATTCCGACCTGACACTTACTAGGTGATGGAACTAAAATTTTAAAGGTGGACTGAACGGTAAAAACTTTTTTTTTTTTTTTTACAAAATTATCTTTTTCAGTTTCAACCACTCTACAGTGGGGGCCTAGTAGCTAGATTGAAATTTGAAGTGCTCTAGAGTCTAGTCTCCGTCTTATCGAGCCACAATATCGAACAAATGGCATTCGCCATTGGCTGTCCACACGCGCATTGCATGAGCTCTTGCACAAATAAATGGGTGTGAATGGTGGAGTAATAATGGAATCATCAACTTGAATTTAAGCTTAATTAGCAAAAAGAAATTTGAATTTGAATTTCAAAAGTGAACAGCTTGTATCGCCTACAATTATATTGGGTGATCCATACTGTGCAAGGCCAATACAAAACCGTCATGGGAAAATGCTATCAATATAGGTCATTCCACCAGTGCCGTGTACCGTCCATCAGGACATATCGTGTGATCAGTTGGGTTGGGTTGGGTTGAACCCCATTTTTGCCCACCCAATCAGGTTGAGTCAGGTTAACTCAACCAAAAATTGAGAAACCTTAACCCTTATTTGATTGCATCTTCTTGTACAAAACACAACTTTGTTCTTATATAGCAAGTATGAAACAATTCATCATGCAGTTTCAAAACTCTTAAATTAAAACCCTGTAATTTTCTACAATTATTTTAGAAATTAATGAGATAGCTTTTAATATTACATGATCACAGACTTTGACATACCAGAGTGCGGCTATTTGTAAGACAAGTTTCAGCTCATACTGTACACTCAGAGTGTCTGCAATATGGGACAAGAAAGTTATTTCTCATCTGGGCAGTTTTGTTTTTAGTTGAAGAGTTACAACTTCAAGGCTTTGTTCTCTTCTGAATAGAAAATTTCAAGTTGTTGGATCACAGCAGATATGGCCCGGCGGCCATTATTCTGAGGTTCCTACCACATTACTGGTTTACAAGAAACAGCTTTTGAATATAAAAGCAGCAAGCTCAATGAAATTAAAGATATCTTTTAAAATGAAGATAGCTTCACTGCTACAGGTCCATGAAGATTTGGGTAAGCTTGAAATCAACTCAGTGCAATCACTCACAACAATTATGATACCCTCCTTAATTACAGTATTTCTGCCATTACTACAGTACAGCTTATCTATGGAATTTGATTTGGGGAGAAGTTGATATTAGTACATTTTACAGGAAATAACCTGGAACGATCGAGCTCATCAAGCTTAACCAAGAGAGCTCTGAAATCTGAATTTTCTCCACCTTAATTATATTAACCCAGAATTCACCCTTTGAATGAGTGCTAGCAAGCTAGCTCTTGCTTTCTTTTTAATTTTTTAATACTTGAAATTCAACCCCACATGAAAAGCTTAATTCTTAACCATCCAACCTGTGATGCCGAGCGTACACCAATCATGTCAGACAAATAGCCATGGAAAGAATATTTGAACAGTATTTGAAAGCTGAAAAGAACAATGACACTTTTTGAGAAAGGCGACAACAAATCCCTGATTAAACAGAACAGTACATTGATTAACTGGTGTTTGTCAATGATCAAGAATGTAAGACGGATTTAGACTTGGTTGCAGAAGCATTCCTTTAATTGGGAATTTTGGAACTTCTTCTCCCCTGATAGAACCACAACCTTCAATCCAATCCCACTCCCATCTACCCTTCACTGCAACTTCTCTCCACACCAACATTTCAGATCCAAGATCTCTATACAAGTAGACAGCCTCATCAATCCCCACACACTTAGTACTGCACCAATTTCGCTTGCCCCCTAGAAACCTCATTCCCAATTCCACCGGCACCATTTCCAGCAACATCCATTGATCTCCAACTCCAAGCTCCCATATGCAAGCTTCTCCCATACAGTCTCCTCCCACAAGCGCTAGCCTTCCCTTCCGCCTGACCAGAGAGGCGAACTCGAGTTGATCTGCCTTAGGCACCTTCACCTCCTTCCACAGGCCTGTGCTCACTTGAAAGCCCATCACGCTATAGGCTCGAGCAGATGTCATCCAGTATAGGACCCCATCAGAGTATACACTCTCATTGGGAGTCCAGACAGTCAGTCTCACTGCAAATTCAATTGGCATCCATCCTAGGCTCTGCCATTTATCAACTCGTGAATCATACATCTCCAGTGTGGCTTCATAGGTGGTACCCCGGCGTGGGGTCGTGGACATGCCCCCGGCCACGTAAACTCTGAAGGAAGAAGGCGAGGCGTCATCTCGGGTCTTGTCCACACCAACCACGCCCACCGCCGGATTGGTGCGTGGGGTGGTTAAGCTGGGAAGAACTCTGTAATGTCTGGTGAAGAGGTTGCAGAGGCCCAGTTGGAGGGGAGAGGAGACGGCGGGCCTGTAGAGGAGGAGGCTGCCAATTGGAGCAACCGGGCGAATTGGGTCTGGAAGGAAGTCGAGAGGGAGCAAATGCCATCGATCAAAACTTGGGTTGTGAACATAGAATGAGAACCCACGGTGGTTACGCGTATGCATGGCTAGGAACCATGGAGGGTGGCAGCAGCAGTCGGTCTCCACGGAGACTGTGTAGGAGGAGAAAGTCCTGGCGCAGGCACGCCAATGCTTGCAGGCTGCTGTGGCCCGAGCTAAGGAGTCTGGCGAGAGGAAGGAGAAGACCCTGGCAAGGAGATCCAAGGGGAGGTTGTTCCACATAGCAGATCAGCCACTGAAGAAATCTGTTGGGGTGGGGTTGAGACTTGAGAGATATATACTGTAAACTGTAATGTAATGGTGAGGTGAATTATTGGAGGTGTATGGGATTGGGCTGTGTGCCCCACATAAACTATATCTGACCCACATGTGATTAGGATTTGTTTCTATTTTCTGAAACCAAAATTTTGCAAAATTTTAATGATTTATTTTGGCAATAAAGAAAAGCATATAGAAATTAATTGGGAATAGAGGAGAGTTTAGTTAGTTTATTTGGGAAACGGCATTGTACTGAAGTATTGATTAAAAAAAAAAAACAAAAGGATAAGATAGCATCAGATGCTGTAGTTCTATTTTGAACTTTGATAAAATAAATGATGATATTGAGGTCATGGTTATCATGGTGAACAAACAACAGTGGCAAACTGAAAATGGTTAGGGTCCAGTTTGGGTCATGTCATTAAATCACAACCCAATCTCAATCTGTAATGAGACTTGACAAGTTCCAAAATTCAAATTTAGCTAGCACCTAATTCAACAGAACGTGAACAGATGACCTCAAAAATAGCCACATGTTATGCTGACAAATGGAGCTTGATTGAGACATTTCATCGAAAAGATGACATGGACGGTAATTTGTCATCAGCCTATAAGTTGTAGGTTTCGCTTGTGACAAGTTATTGTATTACTTGTACGTGCTATTTGGCGATGCCCTTTTGTCCTTACTGGTGATTGGTGGAGCCTCACATGGAGCCCTGATTTTTCGAATTTGATTTTTTTTTCATTAAAGTGGTATGGAATGCCAAAAGCTATGAACAAAATTAACATTTCTCCCCCCTGACCAACCCAAATTTGAACCAGCTTCAATTTGGAAACAATTTGACCTAGAATGGCGGGTTTCCCTAGTGCTAACTAAAGGGCTTGAGTGGACCCATTAGGTTGCAAACCACAAGTGAAGCTCAGCTGAAGTTGATGCAGTTCACGAGTAAGAAAATCCTGAAAACAACACCAAGGAAAATTAGCATTTGGTTTTGGGTGGGTTGGTTTAAAAACACTAATCAGCTTGAACAAAGCAAATCACTAGCCCTAATTCGAATGGAAGCTGGGTTGTGACTTATGAGTATGATCCAGAGAAAGAATAAAGGCTGAACAATCAAGAAATTTGCCAGGTGGCAAACTAATTTTAGGCCTAAAATGGTTCACTTTAACATAAAACATTTGATGGCCAAAATTACTTGTAGAACACACTCATATAAAAGATGGGATATAGAGTTAATGCGGATAGATGGCTTGTATTGGCCACATCATCCCTCCATGTGGCAAAAGTATGGCAGTTTGTGTAGAGAATTTGCTTCCTATTTCATCCGATAAGAGAATCTTTTTCCTAAAATTAAAGAAAGCAGCTAATCCCAATACCTTGTATTAATTCATCAATCTCTAAGCAGCTTGTTTTTAAATCAAATGATATATATTAGTTTATAAAATTCTTCTGGGATGTGCACAAAATGTGTAAATATATCTGTCATGTTATAAACAATTGCAAGTATTAAGATAACAAACACATAGCAGTCATGGTGGGGGACCTGAAAGTTGGTTATTTGCCATTAAAATATTCCTAAAGGTTCCATAACTGATAGTCAATGAGGGAAGCTCAACAACCCTATTAAAAGCTGCCAGCTAACTTGCTTATACTGTTATTTTTATGGGTAAATCTTGCTTGTAAAGTCTGGCTGGTTATAGTAGCAAAGATCTGGCTAGACAGCTTTACAGTTTGGGTTGGCTTTAGCTTCACATTACCCATCTAAACAAGACTAGTTAGCCAATTGTGGCTCAATGTCCATTTTCCTTTCATGCTGCATTTGGCTGTAGTGCAAATCTTGACCGGGTGCAAAATTTGCATCGAGCTCAATTTTCTTTTTGTATGTTTGTACTTATGATCAGCATTCCTATTTGATACAATATTTGTACCTTTTATCTCCTTTGCACTCATTGGCAGTGCAAATTTTATATCTAAAAATTAATGCAAAAGTTATTCCACTTTCCTCTCACCTCAAATTGTCTTGTATTTTTACCTTATTTCAAGACAGATAACCCTCTATAAAAGTGTAGATCACTTCAATTTACATCCCACAAAAAAAATATAACAAATATTAAATTTGAAGTAAAAATATACCTTTTTGCACTCTCGTGCATTTAGACTAGTGCAAATAAAATTTGTACAGCAACCAGATGCAGCCTTAGGCACATAAATTCCTTTTTCTTTTCTTTCAGCTCCATCTTTATCAAAGAGGCAAAATCTGGTCTTGAAGCCAAAAACAAACTGATTTTTTTTTTCCGAGTTAAAACGTTGGATTGTCCATTTCTCATTCTTCCAGTGCAGTGCAGATTCTAGAAAAAATGGGGTCCATTTCATATAGATTTGTCAGACCTACTTATGCATAAAAACATCTATGCCCCAAAACTTGGCTGATTGGTTTATCCTATAATTCTTCTTGATCAAATTCATGTCCTCCTTGGTCAGCTCATAATCAAAAACTTAAAATTCTCCTAAAACCTCTCAAGCATTGATGTTTTTAGGGATTGATAACTGTATTCCTTCAGATCCCTTAGTGGAGAACAATCTGAGATTTTTTTTTTATATTTTTAAGCAATACCTTTGAGTTTGAGGACTGGATATTCAAAAAAGAGAATGATTCAAACCAGTGAAGATTGTCAACTGAACTCCATTTTTTATGAAAAGTTTTTCTGTTTGAGAGGGAGGGAAATAAAAGTAGGTAGAGCAAGAAATAAATTATGAATGGTTGGGAAGATAAAGAAAGTGGAGAGAGAGAGAGAGAGAGAGAGGGAAATGGTTATAAAATTTGGGAAAGGATTGCTCAAGGGCGAGAAGATCATAAGTTTTGTAATTGATCTTTGGAGGACGAGGAAGGGGTTAGGGTAAAAAAATTAAAAAAAAAAGAGAGAGGAACGACATTATGATTTTATTTCTTTAATATTTTTGATAAATTAATAAAAGAGATTAAAGCAAGACAACTGATAAACAATTTCATCCCTTCAATATGCTAAGCAGTTAGATGACGTGGCAAACAATGAATGGAAAAATGGTCCTTCTTCAATGCATCCGCATCCAACTTTCTCTGATTAAATTACCCTCGGTCAAGATGGCATTTTTTTTTTCGGCTTAGTTTGGAAGGAGTACAAATACAAATATGCAGAGTGCAAAACCTTGTATTTTGTATGTATTTGCACTATACATATTTGTATTTGTACTCCTTCCAACCTGAGCCTAAACACATGGCTTGCCTCTCACTTAAAAAGAAAGATATATAATTTTGTTGGTAGATAAGGGAGATATAAATAAATTTTAGTTCAAAATAGTCCAGCCCTAACTCTAAAATCATGTCTCTCCTTGCTCCAAACCCCCTTCCTAATTTTTTGTCTTTTCTTTTAATTTTATTTTTTTAATTCCACATAATTATTCATCAAACCAATGAGGAAATAGCATAGGCTTAACTATTTCTAACGACCATAAAGAAATAGGGGCTTGCTTTTCTAATGTTTAGCCAAGTAGCATCACTTTCCCCCACTTCTCCTAAATTGTCTCTAATTCCTATTAATCTCCTAAATTATCTCTACCTCCTATTTATCTCTTAAATTATCTCTAATTTAGTAGAGAGATTCCCTCCTAAACTGTCTCTAAATCCTGTTTATCCTCTCCCCCACTTTTTATCTACATCCATCTAAAGAAAGTTTCAATTAAAAATTTCAGAATTATTTAAATATTATGACGAAATTATAAACTAACTTTAAAATATTTATTCAAAACACAAAAATTAATTATAATAGATTTAATAATATTCATATTATTAATAATTCTATATTTTTACAAAATTCTTAATGAAATTATGTAGTAACAATATAAACTATAATTTTATAAATTATTCAATTTAAATGTTATTCAAATAAAAAAAATTTAAATGCTTCAATAACTAAATATCTTAAATAAAAAATAAAAAATAGCTAAATAACTATATAACAAAATATTTAATATTACATAATAACATTAAAATAAATAAAATTCAAATAATGAATATTCTCAAATGTATTACATATTATTTAAATATTTAAATAATAAAATATTTAACATGACTAAATTTTATATAGTCAAAATAACAAAATTATATACTAAATTAAAAAATTCTTAAAAGTAGAAAATAATTATAATAGATTTCATAATATTCATATTAATAATAATTTAATATTTTACAAAATTAATGAATAATTATGTAATAATAGTACTAATTATAATTTTATAGATTATTAAATTCAACAAAAAATTATTTAAAATTTTAAATAAATAAATAATACTGTAGATAACTAACTTCACTTATATCAATTAATAATTATAGAAAATATATTTCAAAAAAATAATATTTATTAGTATTAATTTTACCATAATAGTGTACATTCATTATATATTCATATATATACTAAAATTATTAGTTATTTTATTTTCAGTAATTATTTATTGTATTTTTGATAAATATGTTTTCAATAATTATTTATAAATCTATTTTTGTTTTGTTATTTAATAGTAAATTTTCAATAATTATTGGAGATTAAACAATTATTATTTAACTTTTGAAATTCAATATATTGTATTTTAGTTATAAATTTATTTTTAGTAATTATGTATTTTTATAATTTATTGATTAATACTTATTAGATATTAAACTATTATTTGAGTTTACAATATTTATTATATATTTTTAGTATCTTATTTTTTGTAATTATTGTATTTATATTAATTATCTATTGTATTTTTATTATAAATTTATTTTTAATAATTGTCTATTTTTGCTATAAATTTTCAGTAATTATAGGAGATTAAACTATTGTTGTTTATTAGTGATTAGACTATTAATTAAGTTGAAATTAGGAGTGTTCAAGGATTGGTTCAGTTCGGTTGTAGGCTATTTCGCCAACCAAATTGACTTGGTTTGGTCATGAGTTTGTCAGCCGAAATGATTGACCATTAGTGAAAATATGCCAACTTTAGTTGTATCAGTTTGGATCTATTTTTGGTTTGGTTTGTTTGTTTAAAATATTTAAACTTAAAATTTAAATTTAATAAATTACAGTGGTATTATTAAAAAAAATAAATTTATGATATAAAATATTTTAGACTAAGAAATATGAGAATTTTTTCACTTTTTCAAATTAAAAAAATTATATTTAAAACATAAAATATTAATATATATCTACGGTTGGGTCGGTTCAGTTTTGATCGATTTACTAATGGCCAAATCAAAACTAACCTAACTTGGTCGACTTGGAAAATTGCTAAACTAAAGTGGATCAGAAATACTAGAAAAACAACCAACTTAGGTTGAGTTCGATCGGATTTAGTTAAAATATAAAACAATTATATACTCCTATATATTTCTATTGTTTAACTTATGCTTAACAAAGCCCGTGCATCACATGGGTCCCCGCTAATTATTCTATAAATAAGTACTTCTATTAGAAAGGATGAGATGCTACAAGGAGTTTGATACTTTGATCATATATTAATTCTCAATGAAAAGTTTCGGCTATGAAAAAATCAGTTCATATCCTAAATTGTTTGGCCCTAGATATCATCTTCTACATGTAGGACTATCTATAAGTCGATGGGAATAATCACATGATTGATAGAGTATTTGCTCTATGTGAACTAGCTTGTATAAACTATCAACACATTTTCTTCATTATTATTATTATTATTATTATTATTATTATTATTATTATTATTATTATCTTATATAAAATAAAATTTGTTTATACTTATCTCTTTTTGAACTTGGTCCCTAGAGTAGTTATTGATTGAGAAAAAAAAATCTAAACTACAAACAAGAACAAAAAAGAAAAAAAAAACAAAAATTTTCAATAACGTTTAATTGGAAATCTCTATAAGTATATCTACAAAAGTTGTGTACATGCACAACACATTGAGAAGATAATTTCATAACTAGTTTCCTTATCTAATTATCTAAAAGCAAGGATTAAAGTAATGGTATCGGAAAACTCATATACGGATATGCTTTGAAAATATATGGATACGAATGAAAGATATATGAATTAAATGGTTGGATACACTAAAGAAATGCATACAAATCACATAAATATATTATTAACACTAAATCTAAAATTAAATTATATCTTTATTTCATTTTTTTTTATAATTACAATTTTCAATTTTTATTAACTTTGTTGGGAATTATTTATTTGATACTTTATAAAAATAATAAATCTATTTTTCAAATAATAAACATGTTTTCATTTTTAACATATAATTTATATGTAAAATAAAGCATATACATCATTTAAGGTAGACGGATAAATTATTTCTATAATTGTTAATTTTTATTGAATTTTTAGGGAAAATTAAATTTTAAATTATTTAAGTTTTTATATTTATTAAAGTTAAAAAAATGATTCGAAAGCATTGCATATACAATTTCATCAATCTATTGGACCATATCCATTTGATACGACTTGATACAAGGCATATCATGCCAATACACACGATGCATGAGATACATACCTAGTTGCGATATATCACATATCGATGGTATACATATATGATATACCTTCTATTAGGAATATCGTATCGATTAAACATTATCTAAAGAAAAAAGAAGTCATGTAAAACAAAGTGTCAAGATGCTAAATTGCTGCCCACTAGGACCTGGTGGTCCTTAAAGACCCCCTATTTTCCCTTATGCATGTGTTGAACATTGATGAATGATGAGTGAATTGCCTATGGGGGTGATTCACTGATGCCCTATGTGTGAATTACCAATGGGCGTAGCCCATCCATCTCATCGGAAATCGGTGCTTGTCGACTCCTTCGTTTAGAGAAAAGAGAGGGTTGCGCCTGGTGGTTGCCAGCCGCCAATAAAACTAAAACCTTTTCCAAACTTGTGTTCGTTATCGATCTATCTATTTCTAACCATGCCATCAAATGTTTGCATCTAAGGGGCATTCTAGTAACATAACAGTGAAAACCATGTCTAGCAATTGGGATGAGCAAATGGGCCTGGAATCGATCTCGAATTGGCCTTAAATCAATCATATTCCTATCTAATCTTTTATAGGGTAGGGTCTGGTTCTAAATTCTTGGAGTCGGCCCATAATATCTCACATCACATCTCCATAGTATCAGAATCGATGATGTCATCATCGGGAGATATTCCCAATACACAGTGGGGATGTGCTATGGGACGTTGTGGGGCACAGATGTGAATTCCCTTAGGAGAACTGACCTTAGAATTGAACTTATTTTGAAATAAACTCCAAAATATTTTTAAGGATGTGAAGATTTAAGCCCAAGCATTCATAATTATAAAAGCCATGGTCTCACTTGACCATCGAGTTACTTAAGTGATTTGATCATTTGTTTTCATTTTAATATTTGTATGTGTATAATAAATAATGTAAAATGTTTAATATTTATAAAATTTAAATTATAATGACAAAATTTCAACCATATATTAATATAATATGATAATCTATATATTAAAATGTTCAATTTAATCAATAAAAATAATAGGGTTTGACTATGGTATTGGCAAGATATGATATTTGAAAATTTTTTACCAAACAATTGGTATCACAAACATGTCAGTTAGGGGGGTTCGTCTATGATATGGAAAAGATATGATATCTGAAAAACAACCGACCAATAAACTAGAATCATAAACATGATAGGGAATATGGTGTTATTTATCAAAATTCATGAATGGGGTTTAATTGATCAAAACTCTTTCCACACTATATCTTTTCTGCATCATAGATTTTTCCATTATCATTATTAAAAATTAAGTTTTTGAAGAACATGTTTCATTTTCTAATGGAGAGAGTAAAAAAAAAAACAGATTCTATGGATAGACCATGGAGCTGATCCCGCGAACCGCCAAGACTAAAACCAATTTTCATAGGTTCGAGTTACCATAACCCGAACCGACCCATGCGGTATAGCTCCCCTCTCTATCTATCTTTGTTAGTCTGTATTTTGGACTTTGGACTTTATTTACGACTTTAACCGTGAAGGAATACTTCCGCAGTCCCATCCCTTGTCTCCCTCCATCTCTGTCTCGATCTCCCTCACTCTCCGGATGGCTTCACCAAAGGGTTGGGCGAGCAATATTACCTCAATCGCTTCTCGCATTTATTTCCTCCTCATCATCCTTCAGATTCCTCTTTTCAGGTGAGTCTCGCTCGAAACCCCAAGAAAAAAAATGATGGATTATTTATTTAACACAGTATTTCATGAAATCTTTGGTATTGAAATCTGTTGGATTTCTACAAATGGGTACTCAAATCTATGAAACCGCTCTTACTCTTCTTAATTTTGTCCATGAAGCACTAAGATTCAATTGTGCAAATGGTTTCGATCATGTTTTAGCATCTTTGTTTACCCTTTTCTTTATTATTCTTCTTTTGATTTTTGCTTCTCTGAGCTTAAGCTCATCCAAGATTGCAGTGTAACAAGTAGTTAAGTTCAACTATGCAGACAATTGGTCTTCAATTTTAGTAGTTAAGTACAACTGTCATGCGTTGTCAGTTGACCATAAATTTGCTTTACTTCATTCCATATGATATGGCTTTGCATTTGTTGGAAAATCCCACTTCTGTTGTTCTTATATTGATCCTGGAACTGACCAAAAAAGTGCTTATGCATGAAACAAAACCATCCATTTCGTTTCCCTCCATTTAAGGCATGCATTTTCTTTGATCTTGACATGTCCATCTGTAGTTAGTTCTTAATTTGATTGAACAAGTAGCTCTGAAAATATTTTTCACAAGACAACAGATTTTCTTTTCCTGGTTGATCTAGGTTCCATGTTACACATCTTGGAATTTAACTCAAGAATATCTGATGAAACCTATGAATGGTGGTCCTTATTGATAAGCTTAGAAGCACACAACATAGTTGTGAACTTAGGCCATGTTTGGTTTGATGGAAAATAAGAAATTCTATAGGAAATTTCCCTCAATTTTCTGTCTCTCTTTTATTTTCTATCAAAACCAATCACAGCCTTAATGTTCGCAGAACTGTTTCTATCAAAACCAAGCACTTCCTCAATTAAGATGAAAAAAAAAAACTGTTTGTTGAACAATTCACATGTCTGCACTGTTTCTGTTCTTGTTACATGGGCTCAGTTTGGAAAGAGTACAAATACAAATATGTAGAGTGCAAAACCTTGTATTTTGCATGTATTTGCACTGTACATAATTACATATTTGTGTTTGTATTCTTTCCAAACTGAGCCATTGGTTGCAAATGTCAGGTGCAAAAATCATACAACAAGGTTCTGCTTATTTAGACTATAAATGAAATTCAGTTTTCTCTTCAATTTCACAGGGTCCCATGCCGATCTGGGATGTGCACAACACCAATAGAGGTGACTTCTTCCCAATTGATTTCAAGTGAAATCTTCCCTGTTGTGGTGGTGAAGGCCTTTCTCTACCCTGGAGCAATTGCAAATGGTCTCATCAAGAACATGACAATTCCTCGCTGGGATAATCTCTTGGACATCTATAACTTAACTGATGTGAAAGAAGCCTCGGCAATGACTGATCTCCAGCGCCTGGAGGTACTGCATCTCAATTGCTCCTCTCCTTTTTTCTCCAATTTTGGGAATCTAAGGTACAGACTATACAAGAAAAGTAGCAAGGTGTTGCACACAAGTCAGGTTTTCCTATCGCATAATGGTCTGATTTTGGTCATCCTTTTCTTTGAGAATTTTCACTATGTCCTAATAATGGTTGATTGCAATCATTTCAAATTACTGTTTTCCTTGGCCTAAGAGACCCAACAGATTAATAGGGGCCCTATTAATTTAAGATCTAGTTAGGGGCATTAGGCTTTTAGGGGTGAACAAGGGGCTATGGGTGATTAGAGATGAAGAATGAACAAGAAAATAGAAGAGAGAGAGAGAGAGAGAGGAACTCTTGATGTTAGGCTAAACAGCAAAGAGACAAATCACTTAGTAAGAACAAATGAGAGAGAGAGAGAGAGAGGGAAGGAAAAGAGAAAAACTTCTGGAAACAACCAAAATTTACTAAACCAATCTTTATTTCATCAAATCAACTTTCCTTAAACTCTGCTTTAACTAAGACAAATCCATAAGTAACTTACAACAACACTTAAAGAAACTCAACCTCCTAAGCAACTCTCATAACACATTCCTAATCCTACTAAAGCTAACTTACTTTAAAGACATAAAAAATTACTAAAAAAAGTAACAAGTTTACTAAAAATAGAAATTACGATAATTATTATAAATAGTAAGTTTGAGAGTTACCATAAATAATGATTTCAAAATAGTAAACAAAACCACATTCTTAAGACACCAACAACTAAAAATCTGAAACGGTATGATATCATATAACCCAAAAATTCTGAAATTGGTATAGGAATTGGAAAACTGACTTAATTCTCCATTGATTTTTTCCTTGCTTCCATATCTGTGTTAACTACAAGTGCAGTTTTGCCATTGGTAGACAGATTTTACTGTCTTACCTAACAGTATCTTAAAGTTCCTCTTTTTAATTCTCTGTCAGGTCATTTTATCTTTACTATGGTCTTCTTTCCAGGTTCTTGCAGGGAGCTACTTTTCTGTTGCAGGTTCACTCGTGGGACTCCTGAAACCGGGAAGGATGAGCATGTTTGGGATGCTTCTGGTCATTTGGGGCCTTGTCAAGGAAGGGATTCTTGGAAAACCTCTCAACACAGATCCTGCAAAAGCCATTTATGTCTACCCAACAATGTTTCTTGCACTGATATGTGCTTTCTCATCTGTAAAGTACGATGTAAAGAAGGTTGTCAGGAGTAGCCAAGCACGACCCATTGCCAAACCTCTACAAAGCTCTTCAAAATCAAAGCTGAAATGAGATGTGGATGTCACAATATGTAATGGGTTTTAATTTTATTGAAAAATATTCCTTTATTTAATCTCTCGTTTTTTAGCTCAAAGTTTGAACTGTTTTCTGAAAATCATCCATTACATTTGAGGGGGTTTTCTAATTTTCTTGTGTTAGGACACAAACTCAAGTTGAAAATGACAGAGCAAGTTGTTTTCTTTGAGCAGGTCCATTACATCCCTAAACTGTACTCAATAAAGCATGTAAAAGAGGAAATAACATCTGCTGCAATACTCCCTTGCAACCCTCCAATGAAACATGGGCATTGCCCTCAATGGAAATTAAAAAGAAGTTCATGTGATGTTTCGAATTTATTTCCACTGCTGACATGTGTGTTTGCTTAGGGGTTGCAAGGGAGTGCTGCTGCTGCGGTTGGCAGCAGATTTGCAGTACATTCAGACAGTCTAGATCATCTGCATGACCCTTTCACATGGCAGAAATTGGTGGGTTGTGGAGGGAAGCTCCTTACTTGGCCTGGTTGGTAAACCTTTTTCCATGTATTTCTGGTAGGAGAGACTAAGCATCTACTTGGGCAGTCTTGCTCCCCCAACCTTCCAAGGTGTTTTTTTCAAAGCTAGTTCAGGGTTCAAGTTCACAAGATATGGATGAATAATTGCGATAGTGTTATATAGTTTTTTGTTCTGATGTGGCAGTTATTTTTGTTTGTAAATCAAAATCATGCATACTGGCCAACACCCTCTAAATACAAGGACTTTTGGCTATCCATGTTTGACGGCATATGCTGTCCACAGGCTCTCTCCTAGTCTACACAGTCATGCTTTCAGCACTGTTATTATTGCATGAATTTGTATTAACCAACATGTCATGCAGAGAGCCCCATTGACACAGCACATGTGACACATTAGTTTTATACAATCATGCATTCATGCTTTCAGCACTGTTACTGTTGCATGGAGATCATATATTCATATGAACAAACGAGCCTTGCAGAGAGAGCCTTATGGACAGCATAGGCTGTCAAATATAAACAGCCAATAATTTTCTCCCAAGTATATATTAAAAAATCGCTAATAATGAGAAAAGAACCCACTTGATATAACTTATTTATGCAGGCTAAACTTGAACTGATTTATCTGAAACTCCATTCAATGACATTTCTATACTTGCTACACTTCAAAATTTTAACTTATAAGTGGGAGACCTAGATGCATGTGTTTGATAAAGTAGAACACAATAACTAAGAAAGGGAATTAGGTAGAAAAATGTTTTTTTTTTCATAAAATTAAAAGTGAATATCCTTAAACTTGATCAATTTACAAGTAATTTGAACAAGATTTGTCTTTACCATTAAACTTGTATTTTATTACTGACGTCCATTAGAGGTAAAAGAAAAGCTCAAATTACTACAATGCCATTGTAGGTAAAAGAAAAGGGTTGATAAGTTCTGATCACTATTCATTTTTTTTATACTAGTAATTAAACATGTGCATTGCACATGAAAAAAAATTTTCATATTAATTATTGAATTTTAGATATATCATAATTAAAATAAAAATTGAAAATTAACAAAGTAACAATATGATTAAAAATAAACTAAAATACTTGTAATAAATGTGGATGTGCATTGCATGTGGAAATTTTAAATTACAATAACAATTACTATTATTATTATTAAATTTTGTATTCCATTAATTTTTGCCATAAATAAAAATAAATTTTATTTTAACAATCATTTTTATTTATTATGATGAATATATAACATTATAAATGCTACCAAATGCGATAGAATTTTGTACTTTTTCATTGTTTGTGTCCTATCTTTTTTAAATATTTATTATTCAATTATGACATCATGAGTTTCTTTGAAAAGTGTGATCATTGACCCACCATTTAGATAAAAAATAGCTTTATTTTTGGATTTGTTTTAAATTATATATCATCTAAATTATATAAATAATTTTTATTTATTGTACTTAATTTTTGTTTGACATAATTAATATATATTTTTTTATATATTATTTTGATTACTTGTACTTCTTTATTTTTTAAAGATTTATTATTTAACTATCATATCATCGGTTAATCCATTTGACCCAAACCACTAACCCACAACCCAAAAAGGAAAATAATTTGATTTCTAGGTTGATACTAAATTTCATATTACATTTCCATCATTGATAATGAATGTATAACATTAGAGATGTACCCAATATTTATTTTTATGAATATGTAACATTAGATATGTGCCCAATTTTTTTCTATTTTTTGTTATTATTTATATTTTCTATTTTTAAAATTTTATTATTTTAGTATGATATCATTTCATTTATAGGTTGATTTTAACTTTGGCATTCCATTTTCATCATTAATAAAATTACTTTACATTTCATATGTATTTTTATTTAGTATAATGAATATGCAATATTAGATATTTGTCTCATTCTTTTTATTTTTTTTTGTATTATATATTTTATATATTTTAATTTTTTATTATTAAATATGACATTATTTATTAACCCATTTGATTCAAAATGGTTAAATTGCTTACCCACCATTTGGAGGGAAGAAAATAGTTTTGTTTTCAAATTATTTTTTAAAATATTTATTTTTATAATATTAAAATTAATTTTATGGATTTAATGAGAGAATATACCTTAAATTTTATTTTTGATTTCCATCATTAATATAAAAGTATTTCTTATTTATCATATTTATTATTGTTTAATATGTTGAATATATGATGTTAAAAATGTCTTCCATTTTTTTAATTTTTATATTTTTTGCATTTTATCTATTTTTGAATTTCATTATTTAATTGTGACAACATGGATTGACCCATTTGGCCTAAAATGGTTTAATTTCTTATCACCGCCTAGATGAAAATATTATTTTTTTCAGGTAGATTTTAAAATTATGTTTTTATGTTATTGGACTTATTAATTTATTATGTATGGATTTAATTAATAGAATTTAATGATGAGAAGAAATAAAGATGCCTTGAATATATGATTCAATGAAAGTTAATGCAAATTAATACCTTAAGTGTTGGATTTAATGAGAGGAAATTGAATGCATTGAATATCTCGTAATTGTCTATTTTCAACTTATTTAATATTAATAATTGATTACTCTTTTGCCCTCATTTTTTATCAATAAATTTATATATGGAAGGGTAAATTTTGTCTTCAAAAAATTTCGAAAATATTAATGAGACTATTCGTGCTTTTAAAATAGTATAGATCTTTTGAAGGGCTACACAACCGGGTAGTCCATCCCCCAACCCATAACCCCCCAAATCCAGGTGCAGGTGGGATTCAATCCCATGACTTTTTATACGACCAACAGAAGGCCTTACTAACCAACTGGTTGGCACCTTGCAAAGAGAATATATGCGTTTGCGGAGAGTCGAACCCAATCACTTTTTTAGAACATAGAAAAGTATCAATTGATCTTTGACTCTTGGCAACAGCGCAAACTGCAAATTGAAAATAAAAAGATGAAGAAAATAAAGGAAAAGAAAACCATTTGATAACTGTAAGCTAGCTAGCATATAAAAATTAGATGAATTTGTTACTGTTTGGATGTTAGCGTGGTCATCTATTTTGATTTTGGAATTGAGGGACCCAAAGAATGAACATAATCATTTGATGGATGGAACTTCATGTTTATCTCTTCAGTTCTTCACCCATAAAAATAACCATAATAAAGATTCAAGTACAGGCAAATTATGCAGCTAGCCCTAGATTGGAGAAGACTGGAAAGGTTTAATTAGCCAACCACAGAACCACTTTATGAATCACCATGATCTTTCGCCCTTATTGTTTGATATATAATATAAGCCCCATCAATACATCCTTAAAGCAGCCAAAACAAACACAAGGAGAAACAACAAAAATAGCCCTCCCATGTCCCATCCATCTTTTCCTCTTTGTTTTTGACTTGCTTTCTACATTTTGACTGGACAATTCAAGAAGCTGAAGAGCTTATCAGTTTTGCTTACAATTAAAGTATTGATTTTGGTTCATGATTATCATCACAAGGATTTCTTTTTTGGGTATTGATTATTCGCCATAGTTTATCTAACAACATTATACTCTTTCCAAAGGTAGATTTAGAGCCGTTAGTAACGGGGCTCGAAACCACATTGCATCTAAGGCTTACCCAATTACGTGCCAACCGAGCCACCACTCGGTTTCATGGATCAAAATGGCCAATTGTGAAGGTAAAAACAAGGAAAAAAAAATCTCATCTGAAGCACATAGAAAGTCCAAATCGTATTATAGATGGATGACTAATATAATTATATAAAGAAAGAGCCAGCTAACACACTAAGAAGGTTGAGAATGACATGGTTTTGTAGCTACCCCATATTATTCTTGCTAGGTCATTTGTTTTCGGATTTCTATTGGTGGGCTGTCTTGGCTTAGCTTGATTGGTTCCACTCCTCTTTGTCTCTAGAGAAATCAGCTTGATCAATAATGGGGTTTAATAGTTTAGGTCATTAGCATGAAATGAAGACGACGACAAAGTGTACCATTGAAACTATCACAATCCAGGCATTAAAATAATAGCCAAGCTATAAGCTTATCATAAAACGTGATTCGATACAAGTTAAGTTTGTTAGTTGTGAGACAATCTAATAATTAAGTGCTTATTTGGTATGTCTTTCTATGCGGTCTTTCATTGTTTATAAGTTGGGAAGATTGATTTTTTGCCTATTCTCGTTTGACTCGCGGAAGATCTAGCTGCCAAAAGATAATGTGCCAAAAAGATATGAAAAGCCTATTTCGAAAAGTTTCACCCACATCTTTCGCATTTTAATCTTGCGTGGAAAGACGCAAGCAGATGCATAGAAAGATTCATGTCTGCCAAACTGTCTTCAGGCTGCCCAGATTTTATGTCAAAAGCTCAATGCGTCTTTTGACTGTCAAAACTACAAGAAGATCTTCTCAAAAAGACACACCAAATAGACCCTAAGCTTTTTCACTTTGCATAGCTGTTTTGTTTTGGTTCTCACATAGTTGCCGGCTTGGGGCTTGGCAGGTCCAAGCACAAAGTGCTACCCTCCATGACCAGGTTTGTATGGATCGAAACCCCTAAAAAGCTGGATGCTTTTAGGCAAGTTAATCAAAACTAGTTGGATGCTTGGATCGCATGATAACTTATTCACACACCTACAGAGAAGTTAATTAAGCTTCAGATTGAATGATGCATCAAACTCTCGTCTTCTCCCAACTCTCAAATTTTGTACTACCTCCCTCCCTAAAGTTTTGTGCTAATGATTCTTGGGGCTAAGCTACCCCACCTTGTGTAGCTCATCCTCCCTAAAAAGCTAATTCTCTGGACTTGACAAGCATCTCTAGTCTTCAATTATATGGGGCAAATTTCAATATAATGATACTCAATATTGGAAAAATAAGAGTATTTACCCAAAACCCATCAAGTATTTATTTATTTTTTTATGCATTTTTTGAATACAATCAGTTTAGTTTTATGAACTAATTATATTTTATATTATTATCATCATCCAAGCCTTTTCTTAACTATATGATTACATGAATTCTGTTTAGTGTTATATTCACATTGTTGTGGTGGAACACTTTCTGAGTGAAGGCTCTAGCATATATAATCACAAAAACGCAAATAAAAATTCTTGATCATAAGAGTTTGGCAAAAATTTGTGTTAGTTGTGAATCTGATGCAATTTACCTCTTTTATTAATTCAATAGATTGTATTGCTCTTTCGGATGTATTGTAATTTATAAACAAATTTGTACCTATCAATTTAAAAATACTATTACATATTTGCATTTACACTCTTCTCAAACTGATCAGCCTAAAAGACACTAGGAGTACAATTTCAAACTCATCACTACTCCTTTTTAACAGTAAGTTAATCTCTTTCATCATGTAACTATTGCACTAAGAAGGTGGTTGCTAGGGCAAGAAAGGAGTGGGTCAGACCTGAGATTAGGCCTGCTCCATATTTTAAGATGGATTGGGTGGGTATAATTCAAAGCTGGGAATCCGAACCAGATTTTGGGTAGGATCTGAATCCACTAGGCAGGTATATGAATATCCTAACTAAATGGTTGAATATGAGCCACCTTCTTGGTCCCGAACCAGATCCTGTAAGGGGTTTGCCCATCGGAATCTGCACCTGGAACTAGCCATCTAGATCCTTCCAAAGCCTCCCATTTCACGGCTCCAGACCAAGCTTGATGGTCATAAAGCCTCCCATTTGTTTGTTTGTTTGTATGCTTGGTGGAGGAGGGCCACTTCTACAGTACAGGTCCCATCCAAACGGATTGCAAAATTTGGACCGAAAAACTCCTCCCAAAAAAAAAAAAAACGTTTATAGGTTAAATGCAGTAAGATGTAAGACCTAGCAAAAAGTCGATTCAAAGCCCAAATCCAATCTGACCCAACCCAAAAAAAAAAAAAAAGATTAGGGTCTCCTACCTAGTGACCCGAATTAGAAGACAACAATACAACATGATCCAAACCGATTCAAAATTCTTTTTGGGTCAGGTCGGGTTGAGTCACAGGATACCGTCGAGTCACCTCATTTCATCCCAACATTTTCAAACTTGTGTTCACCTGGAGGGTTGAACTGTTTAAATTAGATGATTAAACCCATATTTTTTTGTAAAAAATTAATTATTGACTTGGTCAAAGACCAATTGAGCTGGTGGTTGAACCATTGATCCACTTAACCTGTGGGTCAACCCTAACATGAATATTTAAGATTAGGGCATTGCCTTTGACAATCTAACCCAAAATTTGGACCAACACGAACCCGGCCCGGCTTGACCCGATTGCAGGTCTAGCTAAATTCTAAGGGTTATAAATTATAATTTTTCGTGCATGCTCACTGCTGGCCCAGATGATCTGCCTATGGGGTCCGGTCCATCCACTGGTGGATTCAAATAGTTTAAACGTGGAACAGGTGGCAAATTATGGGTCCCCAGACGGCCAGACTCATCTACACTTCCTGTGTCCCCACATCCAGGCTTTGCAAATATTGGGTCATGCCTTTGTAGTTTGTACTATCCAGTATCCACAACCCAGAAAACACACCTTAATTTGGATGGACTGACTGGCCAATGGGAACTATATATTTTTACTGTTCTAAGCCCTTCTTGGGGACAAATCTTGCAGTACTGGTCCAAACAGAACCCCTTAAAAAAGAAAAAAGAAAAAAAGGTAAAGTTAATATGGAAATGGATATTTTTTTGGTGAAGTTGAACAGACAGAAGATGTTCCAGATCTGTGGTCTAAAGTCATGCAAGAAAACAAATTGGTATGCTTGAAATCTAACTAAAGGCTGCCAGTTGAGCGTATCAACAAATTTGTATTGCAAAAGATTAGGTGCTAGTGGTCATTATCACACTGATCAGATATTTCAGACGACAATCCTGTCATCCAGAATGAAAATCATGTGTGTCCTGTCTCAGAACTGTACTGTTGAATGTTTATCAAGTTGTAAAGGTTGCCCAGTAACCAGTAACCCATAAATGTTAGTGAATTGAAGATAATGACGGTTGTTGTTTATGGTTTTTAAGTGTTAAAGATCAATGCAGGACAGTGGGGGATAGCAACCGGTAGCAGGTGCAGATTATTATAAAGATTAAAAATTTGGACACACTTACAGCAGACTGAGGGGTAATCTCTTACCTTCAATTATTTCAATCTCCAGGATTAAAAATTGCAAGAGATGGACAAAAGAATAGCAAAGGGAAGGGTAATAAATCTCTGTCTCTTGTTTGTTTTTTCTTCCCCGTTATTGCATTCATATATCTTTCAGTGGTAGATATCATGAATATATTGGTCTTGAAAAGTGACAGAGAAACAAACGTGTAGATTCCTTCTGCTTTCGATGATTAGTGAGTGATAAACACTGAAATGCATATAAAAAACCCTAAAACCGGGAGGATGATGTCCTCACTTGCTCTTATTCAATCTTCTGGGTTTTACTTTTGGGCCTCATTTGTCTAGAAAACATTTGAGATTTACTAGTTTTGTACTGAGTGTGGGTTGGTAGTTGAATTTCAGAAGACTCAACAACTTTTAGAGTTGGGATCCGGTGCTTAGAAATGGAAATTTAGGAACCCAATCTAAGGTTTTTATGTTCTCAGCTATAGGACTGAAAATTGGAAAGCTTATGAAGGTATGCGGGCAACTTTGAGATTAGAGTCCTGGAATCCATAAGATTTAGTAGCTTTTAGAAATGGGTTTAGGGTTTTAGGGGCTGAAGTATAGATATATTACAGAATTTGCTACTTTCGGTGGTGAGAATTTTGTTCTTGAGGGGGCAGAAATTCAGGATGCCCAAGAACTTACTGGTTTAAAAATGGGATCTGGGTTCTAGATGTTGAATTTCTGACCACCCACATAGGTTTTTCTAGCTCTCAGAGGTGGTTCAAGGTGTTGAGAATGTTTGATGGAAGCATAGTGATGTCTTTCTGCACATGGAATTGCCCAACATATCTGGTATGTAGTGTAAACAAATATAGGAACCAGTGTAGAACCAGGGCATATCCAGCTCTGGCCGTACAACCATCTTCAATTCTCTTGCACACTGATGATAATGGTAATTGGGTTGAATGTAAGAGGAGATCTGGTTCACGTTCAGCTCCATCTAGCAATCAGACATCTAGTTCCTTGCTCAGCCAAGCCAATACAGTAGGTATAATCGGAGGGGTGTCAGCTGTTTCTACACTGAATTTCTTGGAAAAACTCATCTTTTGGAGTTCAAAGGATGGAGAAGAGAACCTTCCTTTTGTTGTCTGCAGCGATCCAGTGTTAAACAAGGAGCTTTTGTCCCATGAGAGGAGTGGTTTTCCTTATCTTAATACCAAAACTGCCCCTGCTCAATTGGATCATACTTCTGTTGTGGAGAATTTGCAACATAAAAGGGCTTTTCTTGAGCACTCAGGAGCTCGTTGTATTGTTATGCCTTGTCATATTTTGCACAAGTGGCACGGAGAGGTCTCTCAAGGCTGCTCTATACCCTTCCTTCATGTAGGTGAGTGTATTGCATTGGAGCTCAAGGAAGCAAACTTGAAGCCAGTTGAAGCTGGGAGTAATGTGCGGATTGGGGTCCTTGCCACAGATACAACTTTAGCAGCTGGTTTCTATCAGGAGAAACTTGAGACTCAGGTATTTCTGTCATTTTCAATTCAGGTGTATTGGTATATTATGCCTAATTAAGAGTTCTGAATACTTGAAATATTTATTGCTTGGTGAAGATGACCATTGAGCTATTGAAAACCCAAAGACATTACCAACTCATCAAGATGTCTACTCAGTTTAAAACATTTCAGATATGTTCATGACCAGTTGTTGCTATTATTCTGTAAGCAGATATAATTTGTACAACTATACTCTTCTCCCATAGAAACTTGTATATTGTGTCTGTTTAGACATAAGATCTACTTAATTTGCAAAATAGTTTATTACTTACCCACGAAAAATATTTCATATTGTTGCCTTTATCACCCTCCCCTTGTTTCATATCATGTCTGTTTAGACATAAGATCAGCTATTAAGGCCCCGTTTGGGAAGAGTGCAAATGCCGGTTCAGTGCATTTTATGCACCCTGGTTCAGCTTTGCTGGTGTTATGTACTGAAAGTGACGGCGTTCACAAATTTCAAGGTATATTTGCATCCAAAATGAGAGCAAAGTTTGCATCCAAAAAATGGATGCTAACTTTGCACTAAAAGTTGATCAATGTTAAAAAGGTATATTTCAATCTCAGGATTTGTGTTTGCATCCATTACAACTAAAAATTGTTTGGCAAGAAAGTAGATTTATCAATGCAAAACTAAACCAACTTTGCATTTACAAGGACCAGAATGCACTCTACATATTTGTATTTGCACTCTTCCCAAACAGAGCCTCAAGTTAGAAGTTATAGATAACTCTTAGCTTTCAAAGTAAATTGATGGAAAGTGTGCTTGTATATGCAAATTCTTAAACTTATAATGTAAACAGTAGATGAATTGGAGTCTCTGTTGAAGGGTTCCATTCTAGTGTAAATGCTTATTTTGTATGGTTATAATACCATTAAGATATTCTGTAAGAGAAGGTGATTGTCAAACTGTAATCTGTTGGATGAAAGTCCAAGGAAAATACCTTGGAAGGTGGGATTGTTGGTAAGGTAGGCACACTCTCTAGGTGCAACCTTGAATGTCTCGTTCAATTGAGTGCCCACAAGTGCTAACATGTTGACAAATGCTCTAGCAAGAGCTAGGGTAGACAAGGAACAGATAGAATGAGGTTGTCTAGGGCTGGGCTGCAGCTTGTAACAGCTTCTCTTTATTTTTTCATGTTTGTAACTATTGGCCTGCTTTCTAGTTGGGCCTTAATAAAATTTTCCAGTTAATTATCAAAAAATAATCTGTAGGAGGAATGGTATATGACAGTTTGTTGAGTGGAAGCTTCCTGCTAGTTAGGAAATTTCATAATCTCTGTTTTTCACTTATGTTTTGTCTTGGCTTGTATTGAATAAATTGTCAGATAGAAAGCAAATTATTTTACAAAAAATGTGAGAGGGCTCAACACATGATACTAGATATGACTATTTGATGACACTTCATATCAGACTGTATCCTTTAAGTGTACTTAATAATAGTTATCCATGCAGTCCTGTCTAATGTTGTAAACTTCATGAGATTTTTCATGTCAAGCAATTTTTTTTGGTAAAATGACTGATGATTGATAATGAACTTATTTTATAAGAGTTACAGAAGTTAGAAACAAGAGCTTTGAATGCCAATGACTCCTTAGCAAATTGTCATATAAGAGCTTTCAATAAATTGTCATATGAAGCTTGAACCAATGACTCCTTAGCAAAAATACAACATGCAAACCAATTTTACTAAAAGATGCAATGTGAATTTTAAGTATATATAAGCACATATATTTAGATTGAATTGAATTGGGTCATGTAGGATCTGATAGGAGTGGAACCATATAAAATCCAATTATAAATGGATCAAATTTGGATCACCTGACTGGACCTGAATTTGGACTCAATTTTGGAAAAAATGGATATAATTTACAGCTCTAGTAGTAGTTTCTCTGAAGGTTATGCAAGAATATGCAGGAGTTTTTGGTTTCTTGGGCCATTGGAGAAAAGAATCATAGAAAATATGATTCATGCCCAGACCAACCCAGCTTGGGTGGACCTAACCCATGCCCAGACCAACCCAGCTTGCAATTATACATGGGTGGCTTGGATTTTCGATCCTCAGGATGGGCATGGGCCCAAAAGTTTGGGCTTTTTAATTTTTTGGGCAGGGCTTGGGCCTAGCCCTTAGGTAGCCCAAACCCGGCCCAACTTTATCCCAACCCGAGCCCAGCCCAATTATACACATGTATATATGCGTAATTTTACATATACACATACATGTGTATATAGACACATATTTGCATGCATATATGCGTAATTTTACATATACACATACATGTATATCAATTTTTTAGTGTGGGTTGATGGACCAACCCAGGCCTGCCTTCAACCTGAACCCAACACGAGTGCATCAAATTTTAGTGCAAGCTGGACTCAGGTTGGATAATTCAGCCTTGACCTTGGGCTTGGGCTTTAGGTCCAATTCTTAGGGTTGGCCATAGGTTGAGCTACAACCCGGCTCAGCCCACCTTACTTGCCCCTACCCTTGTGCTAATAATTATAAGATGTAAATATCTAAGCACTATAATGAAAAAAGAATAGAAGGAATAAAAAAGTTTTAGTTCCATAATAATTAGAAACAAAATGAGTGGCTTCTTTTTTTATTTCAGCAAAAAAAGTATTTGGACAAGACTCCTATCCCAAGGTTTGGGTAGTCATTAATAAATTGTATTTCCTATCCAGTAGAATTTCAAGTAGATATTACTAGCAGGAAGAAAGGGTAAGCATATGGTAAAGTATTGTGGATGGGAATTGAGATGATAATAGAAAGTTTTGAAATGCCAATATGCCATCTGTTATGATCCAATCTCAAATACTCCCCCAGCACCCCCCCCCCCAATAAAAAAAGGAAAACAATAAGTAAATGCTGTTTTACCTGTCCAGTGGGTGTGTGATTTCATGTTCACCGTTACTTGGTGATATTCCGCAACTAAAGAGCTATTATTTTAGTTGTTTCCCAGAAAATGAAGATAGTTTTTATGGATTAATTCAACTGATGGTATTCTTTTTAGAGGAAACAGAAATCAACCCATGATCCATATTTTTCCAGTTTCATCCTATTCCTGTAATGCACAGGGATTTGAGGTTGTGCTGCCAGACAAAGCAACCATGGAGCACACAGTCATTCCTGCTGTTGAAGCTTTGAACAGGAAGGATATGGAAGGAGCAAGAAATCTCTTGAGAATTGCGCTTCAGGTTCTTCTGGTGAGAGCTGTGAACACTGTCATCATTGCATCTGATGACATGCAGGGTCTTTTGCCTCAGGATGATCCTCTTCTGAAGAAGTGTATAGATCCAATGGATGCTTTGGCCAGGTCAACCATAAAGTGGGCTAAATCTACTGGGAAGATGCACAAGGACACTTTAATGGAACTATACTGATGTTCTGTGAATGGTTGCTGCTGATAATCATGAGACGGTGTTTTGGTGGGGTAATCTTCTATGTATAAAGAAAATCAATCATTGTTTCATATAGTTGTATCATTTAATCATTATAAGCACAGCCAAATAGAAGAAAGCACAAATATGATTGCCGCTTCCCTGTATATGGGGTTTCTATCCCCTATTTGTTGTATTCCTTCCTCTTATTGGTAAAATATTCTATTTATTCAATTGGAAAATGCAATTAGAGCCTTAATACATGGTTGAAAGCAACATGCTTTACCAGATGAGATTAGATTTTTAGATGAGACTCAACGGGATATAAAAAGGAGAACAAGAAAAGAAAATTTTAATTTATCAAATATAACAATGGAGAGAATAAAACAAATCAGTTAAATATCAAATAAAAAATGCTCCATATACCAAGTAAGATATTTGATAATATTGTATTCCTCAAAGGTTTATCTTGATCTGGAGTTGCCTACACAAATTCTGTCACACCATTCCCTTAATCTAGAAACAAATGCAACTTTTCTTGTTATGAAGTTATCTCAACCAATGCATTCTAGGTTGTTCTTTCGCCCTTCAAGAAGGGCCTTCAAGAAAAGGGGCACCCTGCCCTCTAGTATCCTCAAAAACTACATTTGTAAGACCAATGGAAGCCTCTCAACCCAAACCATGCCATCAGGGAGGTTTTGACTAGCCAAAAATAAAGCTGCTTTGTGACTTTTAGATTAAGGGAATGGTATTAACTATTAACACAATTGAACAATGATCTTGCTAACGACAGATATCCTCGACTTATGGTGTGACTTTTAATTGATGAACCTAAAATGGCGTCAATGACCACTTTGGAGTTACCCTTCAAGCACAATATGCTTTAACTGTCTGATCTTGGCCAAGATAATGCTTTCCCCAGCTACCCAGCATTCTGTCTTTGGAATAAAGGTTTTGCTGATAGCATATGCATTGTTACATTTACTTCTCGCTCATGCAGTCCTTAGTTTTCATGAATCAAGTATGCATTGGTCTTCTCAATAATATAATGAGTGAATAAGATGCCATTATTTGAATGAAAGTTGATGGACATAGTCGTGGTGGTTCCAAAATTGATTGTTCTTAGGCTAAAATGTTCTGTCAAAACTTCTCTAATGACATTTCATCAGTCAGATCCTAATCCCATGTAGAAAGAACACATTTCCTCTGTATGTAAGTGTCCTGTCCTCAGCCCCAACACACCACAAGTGGCCCTGCAACTCCAAAACCTCTTTAATTCCTGCTGTTTCCCAAACAAATCTGAATAATCCAAGAGCCCGATCCAACTGTTTGATTCCACTTCGTACCATCTTCTCCTCATCTGATGTCAAAATCTTCCCAATGCACACGCAGAAGCTACCCTTAACACTACCCTTGTAAAGCCCTCCACAAACTTCTATTTCAATATCTCTAATATTCCCATATAGATAATATTGCAAGAGAGTGAACAGGCACTGGGATGAGTGGCCCAAGGTTTTTGTAAGCTTCTTTTGCACTAAGCTTTCTTGATGGCGGGCCTCCTTGTATCCGAGATCTTTGTCCACTAACACATCCTTTATTTGATACATCCCTTCTTTCATTGCCTCAACCTTGGATACGTGATACAATATTTCCTTCTCATTCCTGAAGCACTTCATGAGGTCATTTAACATCTCAAGCGCATCTCCCCATCGCCGGGAAGGTGGTGGGGAATCAATCTTCTTTGATGGGGTGAGTCGCATCCAGGAGATGGAATCAGGGTCAGACGATGTTGTTGAGTCGGCTAAAAACTTTAAGCAACTAGAAACAATCTGCTCAGCCATCTGGACATCTCGTGTCAGAATTCCATAATTCAGTGATTCCATCTCAGATTTCAAGCCCTTCAGTATCTCCTCAAGTGCACCCGTCCATATACGCTGCAGAGTGACCTGGGGGCATATGGTGAGACGCACAGATTTCCTTTGTTGTGCAGATATGTTCAGGAAGTTGCACACCTTGGTTAGAGTGTTGAGGATCATGGGTTCTCTTTCATTCACACTACCGAAACAAGTGTCAGGTATCATTCGAGTAGCTGCTGGCGAAGTCACTGCCTTCATCTTCAGTGCTTCCTGCACTGAAGGAGACCCAAGAAAAGCCCTGGAGAGCGACTTGAAGGTATGCATTTGGCGTCTGATATTGTCATCCATGATGTCTAATCCGTTTTCAACATAAACTAGTCTTCCATCAATCGAATCAACATTTCTCAAGACATGGGACAATTTGTTCAACTTCGGAAAGGCCGTCTTGTACCATTCAGAGGAGGGAAGTTCCTCATTGAATTCTTCTGAGCAATGATAGAGCAGCACGTTCAAATGCCGAGGTCCAAAGTGCTTAGCCTTCAGTTGCTTTGGGCCATAAAAAAGACTCCATGCATATTTGTGGCGTATAGCCAGAGAACAAATTCCTGCCAGAGGCTTTACACGGTTAGCAATGCCTTCTCGGAGCACCATGAAAGCAAGGCGCTTGTTTCCCAAATACTGTCTTCTACTATTGAATTTTTTATCACTGCTTCTTTAATTCTGAATTCTGGTATGTGGGCAATATGTTCTTTCCCCTGCGCTGTCTGAAACCCAACCATGCAACCACAATTATAGCAAAACCTCTTAGGGGCATTCCTTCGTACAGGTTATGCACATTTTCTCCCTATAAGTAGGTGAATGGCTCTGGCTTTCTAGTGCCGGAGATTCCAACAATAGTGGAATAACTCTTGAGGGCCATTCTTTCATATAGGATTTGCAGCTGAGAAGGGCTCTTCCTCTGCGCGTGGGGTGGGGGGGCTTTAAATTTGCGCTTCTGGTTCACCTTTTTTACTGCTGTTTCTTGTGCCTTCGCATGTTATCAGTAAAGGCCAATACTTTAGTGGACTCCAAGTACCAATTTGACCGGTGCTTCTTTCGCTGTTTAAAAAGAAAGGTGGTGCATATATCGATGTGAACAAGGCAGATGATGAGATGTGAACAAGGCAAGAGGCCTGGAAACCGACTCTGAAAACAGAAAACTTAACTGTGGTGAGATTCTTGAGCCTGTAAATTCATCAGCTCAAAGTTAGGGCCTTGGGGGTGTTGGATAACATGATTGATTTTGTTTTATGAAAATAAAAACAAGGAACTACAACAAAATAATATGATTTTTTGATGTAACATTTATTGGGTTGGGTTTATTTACAAAAGCCCAAACTTGGTCCGAAAAACATTCAGGCATGTCAGATTACAAGGCCCATGAATTGCAAATTAGAGTTAATGGGCTTTTAAAGAGTCTATATTACCTATAAATACCTTATCACAAAATTTCATCAATTTATCATACTAAGATTTTAATTTGGGCTATCTCATTGACCAAGATATTCATTTGTTAAATGTCCTTGATCATACCATTTATGGACCAATCAAACCCCACCAAATGATCCAAGAGACAATACCTCTAGAAACCTCATAGTCATCACCTGATTTTTGTTCAATTTGCTGTCGAAACCCCAATTTACACTGAACACCTGATTAGACTATTCGGATCTTTCTGAAGTACTTAAAAATCTCCAAACACCATCATCAGACCTAGGACCTCCTAAAATATCTTCCCCTGAAATTTCAACCCAAGATTCCCCTTCATTTATTCTTTTATCAAACCAATATTCTCTTTCGAACCCTCTTGTTAGCCAGAACCACCCACAACCCAAATCTCCTTGATATTGACACTTCTAAATAAATTAGACCATGCAATTGAACCTTAGATACACCAAAAACATTTACTTATAAATTTTCAACCTAAAATTCTCCCATTTACCCCATCGTCGAATGAATATTCCATTTCAAATGCTCTTATTGAACCAAATTTCCGTGATTTTGGCCCTCCAATATCAATCAGATGTTTCCATAAGATCCTAGACACCCTAAAATCCCTGCCCACAAAAATTCAGCCCAAAATACCTTTGTTTGCCCCTTAATTACACCAAGATTTTGTTCCATAGCTTCGCGTTGAATAGATCAAGTCATTTTTGAATCTACCTAATCTCGACACAATTGGGCCAACCTGACCCTACCAATCGATTCAAAATGCCTAAAAACCTCGCCCTATAAAATTTTAGCCAAAAATACCCTTGTTTGCCCTCCATATAAAAAGATTCTATTTTGGCTAATCTCATTGGCTCGTATCATGCAAAACCATTGTATATACCCACCATTAGATTAGAATTTGTTTTGGCCTCCTTAGACCTTAATATACTAAAATACCCCACCCCCCCTCGAGCTTACCAAAATACCTAAAATAAATAAATATCATAATTAATTATGGTATTTTTAACGATATTTTGTTATTAATTATAATATTTATTTAACTAATAAACAGTATTTATGAAAATACTATTAATTAATTATAGAATTTTGATATAATTTATTAGTAATTCATTAATTAACAATATTTTTATTAATTATGGTATTTTATTAAATAAATAATATAATTAATTAATAAATACTATTAAATAATGTATTGCTGATACTATTAATTAATTAAATAATTCATATGGGAGAGGGAGAATGAAGTGATGAGGTCGATTCATGAGGGAGCAAGAAAGGCTAAAATGAAGAGTGTTTAAGAGTTCTCAATTGAGGTAAGGGAGAAAGCTTAGTCCATGACATGGCATGTTTCTACTTTAGTATATAGATAGATAGATAGATAGATAGATATATTGAAAATTTTCTATTAAATAACAAAACAAAATTTGAGTTATACATAAATATTTAAAATATATTTATCACAAAAGTACAATAAATATAAATTTTGGTATATATAAATATATATTAAGATTTTAAAATTAATAAATATCCATTTTCTGATAGTTATTTTCTAGAATTATTAATTGATATAATCTCAATAATGTTATTATTAATACATTAATAATTGCAAATATTATTCTATTTTTTTAATATCTACTAAAAACTTTCTTTTGAAAGATATTACCTATTTTTGTTATTTGAAAGCTTTAACACCTCTAAATTATTTAATCTATTTTTCATTATTTCAATAATATTTAAAAAATTAAATTATTTATATTTTATATTCTTATCATCAACTATTATTACTTCTATTATAATTACTTTTTGTTTTTTATAAATGTTTTAAGGTTATTACATAATTTATTTATTTAATCTATTTTATTTATTTTCAAATAATATTAAAAATATGATTTAGTTAGTAATCTTTTAATATATAAAATATTTAAAATTAGTTATTTACAATATTCTTCATCTATTTAATATCACTATTTAGTTATTTCAATATTACTTATTTATTGAATTTCATAATCCATAAAATTATAAGTTATATTATTATTACATAATTTTGTAAAATATAAAATTATTATTAATTCAAATATTATGAAGTCTATTTTAATGATTTTCTACTTTTAATAAAATTTTTAAGTCTATTACATAATTTCATTATTTTATCTATTTAAAATTTTGTTGTTTCATTATTTTAACTATATAAAATTTAGTTACATAATTTAGTTATTTTAACTATTTAAAATCGTTACCTAGCTTCATTATTTAAATTTTATTTAATTTAAAGTTATTATATAATATTAAATATTTTTAACATTTTCTTATTTATAATATTTAGTTATTGAAGTTTTTTAATTTTTTTTTTAATTTTTAATTTTTATTATTTGAATAATATTGAAATTGAAAAATTCATAAAATTATAATTTATATTGTTAGTACAATTTTGTTTTGAATTTCATAAATATATAAAATTATTAATAATATGAATATTATTAAATCTATGATATTTTTGTGTTTTTAATAAATATTTTAAAGTTATTACATAATTTTATTATAATATTTAAATAATTATTAATTTTTTTAATTCAAACTTTCTTTTGATAGATATAGATGAAAAGTGGAGGAGAGGATAAATAGAAATTATAAATAATTTAGGAGAAAGTGGGGGACAGTGGTGCCACTTGGTTATATTAGATTAGATTTTGGTAGAAAGAGATTTTAGGAATAGTTTTAGGAAGGGATATCCAAAGGGATAAACATAGATGTAAGAGAGGTGGGCGAAGCATGATGAGGTGTCATTATGAGAGAAGGAGAAGGGAGTGATGAGGTGGCTTCATGAGGGAGCAAGGAAAGCTAAAATGAGAGGGGCTAAGAGTTCTCCGTTGGGGTAATATAGATACATAAGGCATGTTACTTAGGCCATGACGTGGCATCATTCTACTTTAGTATACATATAGATACATAAGGCATGTTACATGTATATACTCATTTATTATTGGATTGGCTTAAAAAGAGAAAAAAACATTTATTGTTGGATCAAATCGGATTTTAGCAAACTAAATCATGGAATATGATCATGGATCTGATGTTTTAATTCGGTTGGTTTGATATGTTTCTGCTAACGAATATCCAAATCTTGGTTTTGAATTCGAATCTTATTGCAAAAATAATAATCAAAATGTAGAATGCAGAATGGAACTTATCGCTTTCACATTCCAAAACCGAATTGCAATAATGTTGCAAAACTGTTGTTGAGAAATTAAGCATTGTAGTCAGTAGGAGGGTTGAGTCTTGCCACTTGGTCATTCTCCTTAAAATGACATTTGCCCCATATGGTGCAACCGGGTGAATGCAAAATGATCGCCAAGATAAAATAGCCCACAGGCTTCTAACAGGCATGCACTCGCTTACCAAACCTCCGCGAACCACTAGAGATAATGCTCAGAGAAGATGAACAAAGGAGAGACTGTGTTATGTGTGTTCTGTGTCACTGGGTCAACCAACACTCTATTTATAGAGTGCTTTCAGTCACCCGAATAGACATAGAGATGTTCGTTCCCAAACAAAGAGATGTGTCTCTCCAAAATAAGCATCAATTCGAAGAGACAAACAGAAGAGAAAGAAAACATTTAAAAATTAAAATCAAACTTCAATTCAAACCGGTTAAAGCAAATGGTCAAACAATAAAAGGATAGGATGTGGCATGCGCACACGCACATGTACACTTGTACCCATGCCCCGATCCGGCCTGACTTAGTGTGCGCATATGTGAAAAGCACCTCCAACCTCCCTTACTTGAACTATGTATAATGCTTTCTCCTATGGGTCTCTACCCACAGAGAGAGCAAGTATATAGATATACTCAAACTAGTTCTTTTCCCAAGCAATATGGGACAAGAGGTCTTCACATGCACTCAAGAGGAGAGAAGAGGAAAAGACAAAAGCCAAGAGCAAAAAGGAGGGAGGTAGATTCTTGAAAATTTGAATATCCTTCCAACAATCCCCTACAAGATTCAAAATTACAAGAATGACAAGATAACATGAGCACTGAGATGAGAGATAGTGATGTCTTTTGGACTTCAATCAACACTTGGGTGTAACAAATTATGTTACAGAGTATGAGTAGAGTCAGACTCCTTCAATCTTTTCTCTTTGTCGTAACTAGCTAATTTGCCAACCAACTCAATTCACCAATTACTTGGTGGTTTTTTTTTTTGTTTTGGAACATTTTGGTCTGGTTCCTCTCTTAGAATCATGAGTATTTTGTAGAGTTAGCCCTTAGAGCTCTCATAGAAACGGCCGCACTTCACACTCAGGCTGATTATTCAGTGTGCACTGCACACACTATTTTTAACTGATTAAGAGTCTTACACTCAACTTCCTCATTTTGTAATGAGCACTATCTTACTTCAGCATCCATAACTAGGCACAAATTGATAGTGTTTTCCAAGTCATGACTCATTCTTACCCATTCAATCTTATTCCAAAGATCTCCTTTCACATAGGTTTGATGCCCATCATCAATGACTTATGTAATGGGCTTTAGCTCCATTCCTATTGATGCCTCATAAACCATTTTAGAAGTTTGTGGTTTGGTCAACGAATCTACAAAATTCTTTTAAGATACTACAAAATTCAGAACAATAGTACATTTGCTGAGGTAGTCTTACCAAGTTGTGTTTTAGGTGGAAGTGCCTTCTCTTACCATTGTAAATTTTGTTTTTTGCTCTGGCTATTATTGCTTGGTTGTCATAATAGAGAAATATAGATGGAACTAGTTG